TTGAAATCATGAGTCAACTGAAGATAGACCACCATGGAAAACCTGGAAGGACTGGACGGCCGTTTTGTCCTAGTATGGGACTCCTCAGCGATGCGCATCCACGATCCCGCCTCCCGCAAGATTCGAAATTAAGACCTATCAGTCTCACGCGCCGGCGTTTAACCATTAGACAACTGAACCGGCCGGTATCCAACGCTATCAATGTTTCATTTCAACCAATCCACAAAATTGCGCCACCTTCACCATTGTCTTCAATGAGCTGATATCTCACAACAGACCTGGTTGAACTCCACTGGTCACGGCTTCCCACTAAAACTCCTTGAGTGTCTCTTGAAGTCAGTCACGTGCGAGACTGATAGGTCCTGGGCTCGAATCTCGAGGAGGACGGGATCATGTATGCGGACTTCTGAGGAGTCCTATACTGGGAAGAAACGGCCGTCCAATGCTTCCAGGTTTTCAATGGTGGTCTAACTTCAATTGACTCATGATTCTAACTGTTCATTTTTGGCATCTATTTTAAATTGTTATTTCTTATACACTATAATTTCAATTATCCATACTTATAATTTCAATGAATACAAATATTTTCTGAAACTATTTCTTCCTAATTTTAAATATATGATAATTGGATTCATGTGTCGATTAAAGCTAGACCATCATGGTAAATATGGAAGCACTGTACGGCTGTTTCATCCTAGTGTATATGATTTTCAGCAGTGCGTATCCACGATCTCCCACTAAAGGGATTCGAAACTAGCACCTATCTGTATATTAGATATGTATAGAGAGATTTATAATTTATTATTATTATTGTCATCATTATCTTGTCGACACTAATAGTATCAGTAATACTCAAATCTGTCATGAATTCGTTAATTGAATTATCAAGTATCTTTGCTGGTGAGACTATAATATATGAATGACCTTTGAGCAACACTAATGTGATCTTAAGAATGTCCACCTATTTATTCGAGTCAAATGTAGGTTATAAATCTGTGGAAAAAGAAATAAGGATTATGGTTTACAGTTGATGGTTAAGATTAGGAATTAGATTTATAGTTTTAATCACGAATTGACCTTATCTATAATACCAAAACACTATTTAGCTAAATGGATGAATGTATTTCGCACCAAAAATCAACACTTGTTTTCCAAAATATGAATGGTTTGTTCATAAATTATAGTGTCGCCTCTTTGATTAGTGTTACTAGGTATTCATACTAAATTGGTTGGCTCTGTCTTGTCCCTATTCAAATTACCATTAATTACACATAGATTATTTCGTAATGCTTAAAATATCTGGAGACGTTAAGGTACATAATAGTTGACTACTGATCACAACAAATTATATGTAAAGATGGATGGAATTCAGGACGCGCGTTTCGTCCTGTTTGGGACTCGTCAGCTGGATGTACCTGTATCTCAGAGTTGATGTTCACTCTAGAAAGGGTCACAAGTCATAACAGTCATAACACATATGCCAATGAGAGAATGATAAATTGCAGTACTAAACATCAATGGGAAGATTCAATTAAATAATATCAAGTAAATTTAAACTTCATCCCATTTCGCAAGCAAGTGGATATCAGAACTCAGTAGCTAAGTGGAGAACGTGGTCGCGTTTGAAGCGAACGGTACTGGGTTCAAATCTCAGAGTGAACATCAACTCTGAGATGCAGGTGCATCCAACTGATGAGTCCCAAATAGGGCGAAACGCGTATCTTAGATTCCACTGCTAGTTACTATCCATCTTTGCTTAAAAAACTTGTGACTTAAAGTTATATCGAGGCAATACACACAGCATGCACATATGCCAATAAGAGTCTGATCAATTGTAGTCCTAAATAACAATTGGAAGTTACAAATAAACAACACCATATCAATTTAAATTGTATGCAATAATTGAACGGTGTTACAAATCCGCAAAATCAAAAGCATACTAGTGATAAGTCTATGAATAGTAAATATACTTTTATTCAACATGGTAGGATATTAACTTCTTGGCATAAAATGTTAAATGCATCAGGATCATTGCATTATATTTCGATTTACATTGTGTCAGTTTTTCAATTTAATAAACCATACTTTTTTATGATTTTCGAAATGACCTACTCATTATTTAGTTTTCAATAGTAGTATATTAAAATGTTGTCTTCTAGATATTTTCATTCAATTGTTTCTTTATATACTTGCTCCTCAGTGATGTACATATGTATTACGATGTTAAGTCATGTTCACGCTGAAATTTCGTAGATCAAATTCGGTCATTATTGAGGATTTGACAAGTATGAAGTCGGTTACTGTTCAGGAACTAATCAGTGCAAAGAATCTCAGTTCTAAAGAACGTTATTTGTGCCCCACATAGCTCTGTCATAACGTCTGTGAATAGGACACTGAGTGTTTGGGGTTCATATTACACAAACAGCATCAGATTCTAGAATATACTAGATACTTCTTGCTCACAAGTCGCGACTAGCGAGAAACCTAGGTCCAAAACGTCTTGATGCTATCTTGACGTGGTGGTTGGAATTGCCTATTGTAATGACCTGATCGAGCTATATTGATTGGGGTACCCGTTCCTTCAAGATCTATCATAAAGATCAGTACGATTAAATCAGCGAACCCAAGGTCTGAGAGTGATGTCTTACTGCTAACTGTACTGGAATGTAGTGACAGTAAAGTGTTCCTCTAAAAAATCTAAGAATTAGAATAATGCTACCTTTTGATAACTAAGAAAGAAGTTAGGAATTTTCACCCCTAAAGTCGGTACACTTTACCTTACCTCATGGATTTCCGTCTCTAGCAGTAAGGCTTTTGAAGTATGGAGCTGAGAAACCAAGATCTACCCGTTCTCATAGCCTATCTGGATGAGTTTCTGAGCATCTCTCCACTCACTAATTGCTACGAAAATCTGTTGGTCCATCTTAACCTTTTTATCTAAGTTGTTTATATATACTAATGCTTCATTTGCAGCTGTTCAGGTGTCTTTCTAAGCTTCTTCAGGGTGAAATGTTTTCTGTGGTCGACCAAGTGTCCAGCTAATTCTTCCTTGCCTTTTTCTATGATCATTTTATCTTCGAATTGATGTCTAAGATGTCTTTTTGCTATGATTTTCTAACGTCCATTAATATGCATATAAGTGCGCACTTTTATTAGGGCATGACCTAAATCTAAGTATATACTCCAGTAGGGGTCGAAGTCTTCAAAGGTGAATGATGGCAATATGATATCTGTGTGTTCATAACTGAATCAATGTTAGCGATCACCAGGTTAGATTGAGTTTCTCTTTATTCTAAAAGTTCACACTTACCAGGAATTGTTGGTTGTCTGAGTAAAATTGCAGCAGACGGTAGCAGTTATCGGTTTGTTAACCTGTAACACCATAATACTCAACTAAAATTTTCCGTTTGCTTTAGCCTACTGATTTGGGCGTTAAAATAGTATGTTACAACTTCTACATCTGAGCATTTGGCTCTGTAAAGGTCATCAGTTTATTTATAAAACGTCTTTTACTTCATCCGAGGTGCAGTCAGTAAATATGAAGAAGCAACAGGATGTGTCCTTATCTTTCCGAATTCTCACATATATGACTGTTGATAGAAATCCAGTCAAGAAATGTTTATCGAGCTATACTTTCACTAGCAAGTCCGTGAAAGGTCGCTTTCATTTCTCAAGATACATGAAGGGTATATCGCGTCGGCTCTTCGTACTAGCTAGTTGGGGTTGAATGAGTGGCTGTGCTATGATTCTGTACGGGTATTTCATCGACTTCAATATATGCACTCTAAACTATACGTTGGGGGTCGCAATGTTCGAACCTTATGACGAATTGGATAACTACACATTACGATCAGCTATTTCTGGAGTAATTGTGTATAAGACTCCCACTCGTACCTATCTGGAATCTGATCATGGTTCTGTTTACGCCAAGCTTATCTTGCGTTTTGGTGGTCATCGAGCGTTCCGTTCTAAACAGGTTGACATAAGTGAATCGGTTGTAGCTTCCGATGCAACCAAGTATCAAACTGACGTAGGTTCAAGACTTGTAGTAAGTCCTTCACAATGTGTAGATGAGCACTGCATTCGTTTGGTTGATACCATGAAAATGGAGATGTAGTAAAGCCATGAGATTAAATCCACTGCTTTTGGCTTGTATTATCGTTTCACACAATAATGTAGTTCGTTGAACAGGATTGTGCTCTGGGATTGTCTGTCAAAGGATGTGTCTGAGAAGTTTATTAACATTTTAAAGATTCTATGTACAAACACCTCATGTAAGGTGAGGGCGTACAACCATCTCTCTGTTGTTCTATCCAAAGAGTTAGATTACTTAAGATATTCGTTAGAAACGGGGAACTGGACATTATCCTTCTTTACTGGCCTCGATAGCTTGCACGAAAGGCCGGAAATCTTCTTGTGATAGCCACAAAAAACCAGTTTGGCTTATTGTCTGAAATACTAGCCTCCGTAATTGTCCAACGCTTAACTAGTGTATGTGAGGAGCGAACTAGGGATAACCATGTTAGCTTCAGACCTGAATGTGGATATGTGCACTAAATATTCCCTCTTTGTGAAGCTATGGAACAGAGATATCTGTCTATTCCTAACCATAATTATATTTCTCAATCTTAAGAGGGGGGATCCACCTTGGAGAGTTGGGAAACCCTGATTCCAAAACGTTGGTGTACATGGGTTTAAGGATTCTTTGACGGAATAAATGGCGTATGAACCAATTATTTGTCACCAGCTACCATGGAACTGCATCTCCTTACATTGTTCCACTGCCTTGTGGATTAGAGCTTTTGGTTAAAGGCTCGGGGTGTGGCCCCCTAATAAAACCACCTGCTCCGGTTTGGGCACCCGGGCAGTATCCGAGCCCTCACACAAATCGAATGATTTATGTGGCGTAGATCTATTTGTTGCCTCCTTATACTGATGTTTATGTGTTTAAATAAATAAATTTAGAATTATAACTTTTTTGTTTTTTTAATATCTTCAAGTTATCCAATCAGTGAGGACATTTTTGGATAATCATGGTTTTCGTGAATTATTTGAAGAAGAATCTTGGAGTTTACGTCCTTTGGATAAGGTTTATATAACGAAAAATGAATCAACTGTAATCGCAGCCGCTGTTGGTGGTCGATTTGAATCAGGCAATGGTTTCACTTTGCTTGGAGCACATACAGACAGTCCATGTTTACGTTTAAAACCGAATTCGGAACGATTAAAAGAAGGATATATTCAATTAGGTGTTGAAACATATGGTGGTGGTCTTTGGTATACATGGTTTGATAGAGATTTAAAATTGGCTGGACGTGTTATTATTCGTAATGCTGAAGGACGTCTAGAACAACGCTTAGTTCATATTAATAATCCAGTTGCTTGTGTTCCTAGTTTAGCAATACATTTAAATCAAGAAATTAAAACTCAAGGTTTTCATCCAAATTCCGAACAACATTTATCTCCAATACTATGTACTAGTTTAATGGAACAGGTTAGTTTATATGTTATTTAAAAATATAGAAAACATTGTTATCAATTGCACAAATACTTAGTTAGTGATTTTTGTCATTATAACAGCTGTCAATATTCATTTACTGGTGAAAACGTTTGTTGATAATAGCTGTCTAACATATAATGGTTAACTTTTATTTGGTGTATCACCCTTTAAGAACATTGTATGTAGTACATTTATGTAATAGGGATGTTTCTTTTGCAAGACGATAAAAAGATTAATGCATGAATATTGTGTGTGTGTGTGTGTGTGTGTTTGAGGATCTTTAGGGTCAACAAAGAGTCATGGCTTGGTCATATGGAAATAGAATTAGAATTCAGAGTTCAAAAATAGGGTTAGCAATTAAAGTTAGGGTTTTTATCATATACAAATGTCATTTTACCATATGGATGATTGAATTTCGTATCGAATTCTAAGACTGTCTATCTTAAATCTGATTAGTTCATCCATATATTATAATCTCACCTAATTATCTATGTGGTACTATTCTTTAAATAATTACGACTGATTAGTCAGTGATTTAGTCATCTACAAAGCAGGACCAATCAGTTACTTCAATGGTAGAAATAAAAAAGATTGCATATAAGGATATAGTACAGGAAGAAAGAATTAGTTGGTAAAAAGAAAAGTATAAAGTAGTTTTAATCTCAAGATGTAAGGGAAGGAAATAAGTGTATACACCAACACCATTGTGATGAATTATGAGCCATGTAACTCAGAGTCTCCAAGCACCTTTTACGATAGTCACGCGGATCCCAACCAAGTAGTCTGTATCTACTAACATGGTTAGGAGTAGAAGTTAATGACTTCAAGGACTAATGCCTTGCATCTAACCTCATTATTACTTACCCGGTGATCCTCGAAGATGCGAGCAATATTTCTAAGACATCTGTCATCAAGTGCTAGTAACTAACGGGTATCCTCTGCTCTCGTACTTAGTTCTATGCCTACGCCGCCAATTCACGAGAATTTGTTGCCGGTCTCCAGATAAACGGAGAATGTATCTCATAGGCTCCTCGCTTTGGCTAGGTGAGGTCAAGTCAATGACCGCACTAAGATACTGTATGCGTGTTTTGGAGACAACATACATCAATGGTACGAGATTCTAGGGTCTTGGCCGAGGACGCCTTCTGACCGATTTGTCATAGGATACGTACCTTGAAGGCTCCAATGGGTAGTTTGGAACGAAGTTTCAGTAAACCAGGGACAGTGTTTCGCGCACTAGAATTGTTGGCCACGGTGATACTTGAGGAAAAGTCAAAACAGGAAGTTTGGAGTTGATAGTCAGGGTAGGAGAAATAATAGGAATCGAAGAGGGAGATCGATTATGAATACAGTGATCTTGAGTTCTGTTAAAGGTTCGAGGGTGGTTATCAATTCCGGGTTGCTCACACCGTAAAGGTACCTGAAAAGGAAATTGGGTTAGAGATGGTCTTAGTGACCTGAGAGCGTGACTGTAGTGCCCAAGGGACAATTGTTTGAGGCCGGTCACATAACACCTTTTTGTGAGTAATTTTCGTGTTGTAGAAATAATGTGTTTTCTCTGGTATTTAATGTACCTCTAGTCATTATTAATGTTATTTAAGTCAAAGAATATTTAAGCAAACTATCGTTATCAATTATTATTATTATTATTATTATTATTATTATTATTATTATTATTATTATTATTATTATTATTATTATTTGAACACATAGCTATTGGTACAAGGAGACACCAAATATACATGCGCCACACAAATCTCATTTGGTTTGTGCGAGGGCTGTGATACTGCCCGGGTTCCCAAATCGAAGCGGATGGTTTCCTTAGGGGGTCGCATCCGGAGCCTTCGATTTAAAGGTCTGGTCCACAAGGCAGTAGACCATCGTAAGGAGATGTAGTCCCATGTTAGCCGGTGATCAACGATTGGTTCATGCGCCATTTGTTCCCTCAGGATACTGGAGCCCATGTACGCCATTGGTTCAGATTCAGGGTTTTCCAACTTCCCTAGGTGGACTCTCCATGTCCACAAACCCGGTTAAAGCGCCGGACATTCGCTTTTCGTCCTCTCATTTTTGTAAACAACACCCCCGCCACGAGGTGGTGAGTAGGACTTCCCTGACAGAGTCTATTTACGCGTGGCCATGTGAGAGCATTTCGAGAGGGTGAGCGGACTCTCCCTTCTCTCGGCCGTACCAGGGCATTTGGGGGTATTGTTTTCAATGACTTCATCTCTAGGGGTCTGCAGTTATAAATCCATGAATATTACATTAAATTAGCTAATCTATTAGGGTATACAAATACCAGAAATACGACTGAATTGGTCAGTATTATTAATCATTAATAGTATATTTCATTTTGCTGAAGTATCAAATGCTTGTGGTGTGAGTTATTAATAAAGTCGAAAGGTCATATAAATCCTTTAAGTTAATATATTACGATCAGTAGAACGAATAATGATATCAATTATATTACGATAGATGAATGCTCAATAATGATTGTGTTATATAATAAGGCAGGGTATATATCTAAATGTAAATGTACTTGAAGTCACTGACTTCTAGTCTTAACCATATTGGTAGATGCAGACTACTTGTTTGTGATCCACGTGACTATCGTAACCAACGATTGGAGACTTTGGGTGACATGACTCAGAATCAATCACAATGGCGTAGGTGTATACACTCTCTGTCTTCCCTTAAACTATGCGATTAAAATCGCTTCATATCTTTCTTTCTACCAACTAATTCTTTATTCCTGTACTATCTCACTATATGCTATCTTTCTGTTATACATTACCACCATTGGATCAACTACTTCTATGAATCCTGTGTTCGTCTTGCTGTGGTAATGAGTATGGCAATTGAGAACGATGTATATATGTGCCTAGTCCTACGTTGTGGCTGACTGACTGACTAAACTTAAATGATGATTACGGGTTAGAATTTTACAATATTAAGCTAACCATTTTGTAAATCATGGTAAATAAAAGTTGAATACATGTTTCCAGTTTCCTCAAGTTGATCCCAATCGTTCATATTATGTAACGAAAATATAGATTTATCGTAATCAAAGAATCTTTTTTTTGTGTACATTGTTACTTGAGAAAAGTGATCATCTAGTCTATAAGCACCATTTATCATTTAGAAAATAATGAACAAGATATCCTGTTTGGGGAGATCCAGAAAAATCGAAAAAGGTCAAAAAAGGTTCGGAAAACGCTGAGAAGCATCTTATCCAATGAGCATTCACTAGAAGTTGTCAGAAAAATCTAGAATGTGAAGTCACGTGTCGAGTTTTTGATTGTATACTTACCTATACTGCTACTATATTTAGTAGCGTTTCAGAATTTTCCGGAAACTGATGGCCATTTAAAATACTATAAGTACCATAGATTTTCTGTACATGAACGAACATTTGGAGTATTTTGCGCCTTTTCTCTCGTGTTCAAGTCTCTGTGTAGACTTAGCCTGGGAGTTACTAGAGAGCTTAAGAACCGAATCTAGCGTTCAATTAGAGGACTTATCACTGTTCACAATATATCCTCTTTTAGAATTGGAGGGTTTTTGAGGTTGTAGTGATTTTAACAGTTGAATTCATGAGTCGATGTAAACTAGATCACCATTAAAAATTTGAAAGCACTGGACAGCCGTTTCGTCCCGCGTCTGGTGTCATAGATGCGCACTGTTCACTAGTCCTATACTAGAACGAATCACGAATTCAACTGTTAATATCCTCTTTTATCGAACTTCTTTGTGTCTACCAATACATATTTATTGTTTAAATTGTTGCTTAAGTTGTATTTGTAAAAAATGTCAGTAATTGAAGTGAAAACAAGCCCAACGTTTTACTCAACAGTTTGATTCAAGCTTCTTCAGAGGGGGAACTAACTAAACATTATAATTATCGAATATACTATATACAGACTTCACAATTTAACTGCATCCTAAACAAATCGTCCAGTTATATTATGAATACTGAATGTCAACTTTATTTGTAGTGTAGATATAAAGACATTTTGTTTAAAATATGGAGAAATTGTGATAAACTAAAAGGAAAAGACAACTAATAACTTATGGATTTCAAGTCAAATTATTTGAATAGTCAACTTGTGATTTCACTAACCATTTTATTCAAATCAATATCATGCCACGTTGAAAGTACCGGTTGTCGTCCGATCACTTCATTTAAGCAACATTGGGCTAGGTCAGTACTTGCATGCCTCCAAATACCTTGGTACAGCCGAGAGTGGGAAGAATCAGCTCTCCCTATTCAAATGCTCTCACATGGCCACGCGTATATAGACTCTGTCAGGGAAGTCCTACTCACCACCTTCTCGTGGCGGGGGTGTTGTTTACGAAATTGAGAGGACGAAAAGCGAATGTCCGGCGCTTTAACCGGGTTGGTGGACATGGAGAGTCCACCTAGGGAAGTTGGAAAACCCTGAATCTGAACCAATGGCGTACATGGGCTCTAGTATCCTAAAGAAACAAATGGTCACCGGCTACCATGGAATACAAAATTTCATCTACTACAAATTGATTAATAACTAGAAAATACTAAATAGTTGTTTCTTCTCAGTTTACAACTGAAAGTTAATGAGCATACTCAATCTTATTTTCTCCTGCATTACAGTTCAGCAGAAAAGTTAACATGGTATTGTTGTGTGTGCTACCTATGTAGACATAAGTAGTATATGATGTTAGTCGTGAACAGAATGTCTGGCAGCAGAGAGACAAGAAGATTGAACAGTAAAGAATGAAGACAGAATGCAATTTGTATGAAAATGGAAGAACAATGAAGCCTAAGTCATTTTGAGACAATTGATAGACATTTTGCAAATTAAGCATTTGCTTTATGATTGTTAGATTTTATTCACACGTTCTGTAATTTGTAGTTCAATACATTCGATTGTCTCCATCGGTGTTCGTGTTCACTACAGTATAACGCATACGTTAGTATAATTTGACAATGATATTCATTACCCTATTGTATTTTCTTAGAACTTTATCACCTAGCAACAATGCTAAACAATTCAAATTATAAAAAATTCAAAATATGATTATAATTAGGTTCTACTTGGTAGTAGTTTGTACTTACAGTTTAGTTGATGAGTTAAACTAAATGGTTTTTCATATTGTTTCTTTTTTTTTTCTTTTGTACAGCTTCAAAATCCAACTGCTCAAACTACCAGTACTACTGATTGTGGAAATGATTCAACAAATACATGTTTTAACATATGTCCTATTTCATTATCTAATAGAAATCGTCATCCACCAGCTTTATTACGTTTATTAAGTGAAGAAACAGGTGTTAGTGAACAACAAATCGTAGAGTTGGAGCTTTGTTTTGCTGATGCACAACCTGCTTGTGTTGGTGGTTTGTACAAAGAATTTATTCATGCGCCTCGTTTAGATAATTTATTTAATTCTTATGCTGGTCTTCATGGTTTCATTGAATCTCTTCCAACTTTATCGTCTGAGTGTAATATACGTTTATTATGTTTATTTGATCATGAAGAAGTTGGATCTACATCAGCTCAAGGTGCAGATTCAAGTTATACTTTATCTGTTATTCGTCGACTTAATAAAGCATTTGAAATGTGCAATTTATCTGAAACACATACGCCAACTAACAATACAAATACATCACAGTGTACAAAATGTAATTTAGATATACATTTTGAAAAATCATTAGCTAAATCTTTTCTTGTATCAGCTGATCAAGCTCATGCAGTTCATCCATCATGGAGTGAACGACATGAATGTTATCATAAACCTCAATTTCACAGTGGTGTCGTATTAAAATACAATGTTTCACAGCGTTATGCTACAAATAGCCTTACTGCAGCGGTTGTTCGTGAAATTGCACATTTGTCTAATGTCCCAGTTCAGGTTTGTGTTTTTTGAGTTTTTCGTTATTACGTAAATTAATAATCTGTATTTTAAACGAAGATAAATGTTGATTAGTATTGAAATCTAGGATGCTCGTTTCGTTCTATTTGGGACTCACCAGCTGAGTGTACCTTCATCCCAGAGTGGATGTTCATTCCGGGACTCTATTCAGTACCGTTCTCTTCAAACGCTACCACATTAACCACTTAGCTACTCAGTCCAGATAGTCACTAGCTCATGCAATGGGGTGAATATATATGTATATATATGTAGGTTGTTTGGATCTTCCCATTGATGTTTAGGACTCCGATTGATCAGTCTCTTTTTGGGATATGTACATCATGTGCGGATTACCTCGATATTGCCATCAAGTCACAATGTGCGTCGTGAATTCCATTGATAACGATTATCTATCTCTTTTTGAAATGCTTATGACTTAATAGGAATATCGAGGCAATCTGCAAAACATGCACGTATCCCGAAGAAAGCTAGGGGTGGTGAAGCTAAAACTTAGCATCAGTCCATGAAATTATTAATAATTAGATTGAACCAATGAATGTCATGGTTCAAAGTCTCTTTCAATGGCTCTGGTACATTCATTCTTTGTCTTCGTGTAGATTATGAGCTCTTGAATCCTTCATAACGTTGTTGTTGTTATTTCACTAATTTATTTTTCTTCAAATCATATTTTCGATAACTAATCTTTTCTATCAGTACTCATGTTGTTACTACCTCTAATATTCTGGGATTTAACTTGATCTCTGTGCTTATGGATTATGGAAACTTGAGTCAATATAAATACGTACCAGGTTCTATGTTGTGACTACTACTATTGATACCCAAAGGCACTGATCAATTTCAGTCCTAAACATCAGTTCAGTCAGTCAGTAACAACGTGGAACTTCGTACGTACGTACATCAGTTCGAGTTTCCATACCACATTAGCACAGAGATTCAGTTATCGATTCAAATCCCATAGTGGTAGAGGTACTGAAAGTATAAGTAGAGATAGGGGACATTAAGGTTTGATGATGTTATTAAAGGAGTATAGTCCAGTGGAATAAATTGGGAAAGAAAATAAAGGACATGAAGAATTCAAAAGATTAGAGTTTGAGATTAAAAGATTCCAACAACCAAGATAAATGTAATAATCTAGAATGTTGTGATTTGCTGACATATACAAATAGACGTAGTCGAATCTAACATTAATGGATTATGTAGTCTGTTCCAAATCAAAATAGATACAACATTGTAATTTTCAATAATTTATTAGGTTTCTTAGATCGAATAAATTTGCATATCTAGTTCATAGGAACAGAAAAAATTGTTATTGTTTGTTTTAAGAAGCAATACGAAACATATTTATTTATTTAAACACATAAACATCAGTACAAGGAGGCAACAAATAGATCTACGCCACATAAATCATTCGATTTGTGTGGGGGCTCAGATGCTGCTTGAGTTTTCAAACCGAAACAGGTGGTTTTCTTAGGGGGCCCCACTCCCGGAGCCTTCATCTTAAAGGTTCGGTCCACAAGGGTAGTGAAGCAATGTAAGGAGATGCAGTTCCATGGTAGCCAGTGATCAACAATAATTTCACATACCATTTGTTTCTTTAAGATACTGGAGCCCATGTACACCATTGGTTTGGAATCAGGGTTTTCCAACTCCCCTAGATCGATCCTTCATATTCACCAACCCGATTAGAGCACTGGATATTCGCTTTCCATCCTCTCATTTTCGTGAACAATATTACCGCCACGAGAATGCAATGAGTAGAACCTCCTTGATAGTGACTATATATACTCGTGGTGATGTGAGAGCATTTGGATAGGGAGAGTTGCCTCTCCCCAATCTCGGTCGTACGAGGACATTTGAGGGCAATACGAAACATAACAATGATGTATTAGTGAAAAATTTATTAAAGAACAATTTTACATTTCTATAAATGTGTTACATCGTTAAATCATTTTTGCACAAGCTATTGGCTATCTGGTCTCAGTGGCTAAGTTAATAAAGGCATTGGCGTTTAAAGCGAACGGTACTTGATTTCTGTCTCGAAATGAACATCAACTCTTGGATGTAGGTGTGTGTATCCAACGAAACGCTCGTCTGGAATTCGATTGCTAGCCACAATCCATCTCTACCTATAATGTTTGTGTTACATCATTCCTTAATTACTAGCTAAATAAAAAAAATAGGATCAAATCAAGACTGAATGGTTAAGTTGACGGTAAACATTCAACGTAAATTACAATTGATCTTTGTATTGTATAGTTATAGACACAACACACACACACACATTGTTATTTTTGAGCTTTATCGAACGGATCATTATCATTATCCAGGATCTTATTTTCATTTTAGTTCTAAAGTATTTTGTTGAATTGATTATTATTATTATTATTATTATTATTATTATTATTATTATTATTATTATTATTATTATTATTATTTACATTGAAACATCCTTTGACTATTAATATTCCGATTACATTATATGAGTTCATATATCTATTTTTTAAATAGCTTATATTGGAATATTTGTCCATCCGATTAAAGTACCAATGTTATATGACATGTAGTTATTTGATTACTGTTACTTCGATTTGGTACTGTTTAATTGGGTATTTTATTGAAAGTCGAAATTTTAATTTACCATTCATTCCATGTATGAATCGACTTTATTGATTTCAATACATAAATATTAGTACAAACGGTTATCAAAAAGATATATACACCACACAAATAATTGGATTTATATATGGGCTGGGATAATTCCTGATTGCTTTAACCGGAGTAGATAGTTTTCCTAGGGGGACAATCCCGGAGCCTTTGACATACAGATCTGATACAGAAAGCAAATGGGTAACGTTAGGAAATGCAATCCAATAGTAGTCAGTGATTAACAGTAGGTTCATGCACCATTTGTTCCCTCAAGATTCTGAGGTCTATATACACTATTGGTTTAGGATCAAGGTTTTCCAACTCTCCTAAATAGATCCTCCATACCTTTCAACACAGTTAAAGCGCTGGATATTCGCTTTTTGTCCTCTCAATTTCGCTATGAGAAGGAAATGAATAGAACTTTCCTTGTAATGATTGTATACACATGGCTATTCGAGAGCACTTCGAGAAGGAGAGTGGACTCTCCTCACTTTCGATTGTACCAAGATATTTGAAGGCTCTTTTTCAACAATTTGCAAACCCAACTGTTTTGTTTTCGCTTTTAATGAATGAAGAATTGTCCACAGAGTATACACTAAGTACAAAATTTACTTATAGTTAAAATGTTATAAATTTCACCTTTATCTTATTAAAAAGTATTACTAGAATTAGATTGTGAATATGCACTACTGAAGAAGAGTCCCATACTAGGACAGAATAGTCATTCCATACTTCCAGGTTTTTAATGTTTATCTAATTTTATGATTTAACGAAAAATAAATCTATAAATACTTTATAGTTGAATTCATGAGTCAATTGTAACTATAGATCACCATAGAAGAAAACCTGGAAGCACTAAACAGTCTTTTTGTTCTATTATGGGACTCCTCAATAGTATTTTATTTTATTTATTTATTTGAACACATAAATATTGGTACAAAAGGACACCAAATATAAATGCGCCACACAAATTTTCGCTTTATTTGTGTGTGGGCTGTGATACTGCCCGGGTACCCAGATCGAAGTAGGTGGTTTTCTTAAGGGGCCATACCCCGAGCCTTTGACCTAAAGGTCTAACCCACAAGGCAGTGGAGCATCGTGAGTAGATGAAGTCCCATGGTAGCCGGTCATCAACGATTGGTTCATACGCCATTTGTTCCTTCAGGATACTGGAGCTCATGTGCACCATTGGTTCGGGATCCGGTTATAGTGCCGGACATTCGCTTTTCGTCCTCTCATTTTCGTAAACAACACCCGTGGTATGAGAAGGCACTGAGTAGGACTTCCCTGTCAGAGGCTGTATATACGTGGCCATGTGAGAGTATTTCTAGAGAGAGAGTGGGCCCATCCCACTCTCGGTCATACCAGGGCATTTGGGGGCGCATTCACGATCCCGACTCGAATTCAGGACCTATATATATACTTATTTATAAGACATTGTCTACTTATATTTCACTTTCATTAATTCCCTATTTTGTTTATTTCAATCAAGTTTTTATTTTATTTTGTTTTATTTTTTTTTTCAATTTTATTAGGAATTTGTTTCCAAACAAGATATACATTGTGGTTCTACAATAGGACCATTATTATCATCACAATTAGGTATACCTACAGTGGATTTAGGATTTCCTCAATTAGCTATGCATTCATGTAGAGAATTATGTTGTTCAACTAGTATTGAACAAGCAGTACGATTTTTTTCATCCTATTATCAACATTTATCAAAAATTTGGTGTAATCAATCATTACGTAATAATAAACAATTAAATCAATCCTCTTATCATATTTATTGATAAAATGGAATTATTTAAGAGTAATTATTATATCTGATTATGTAATGAATTCTTTATTCATTGATTATTTAATTATGAATGGGGTGGAGTGGAGTGGAGTGGAGTGTAGGGTATGGTGGGTTGGATTGGGTTGGATTAGGGTTTCAAATAGTTAGGAACGCACACAAATACACATACACACATACATACATTTACAAATATACATTTGAACTATTAAACATTTTTTTTTATTATGATCTAAAGGAAACTTCACTTCTTTCTTGTTACAAACTTTTTTTTATCCATGAAAGATTCTAAGAAAAATTTTTTCTTGGTTGTTTATTCTTTTTATTCTTATTGTTTTCAAGTAATAATGTTTGTTTGTTTCTTTGTTCTTCTTCTTCGTTGAAAGACACCGTTTTCTGTTTTGTTTTGTTTCGATTTGTGGATATTTTTCAATCTTCTTGTGTAGTCTGCCTGTATTCAGTTCTCCTTTTTTTGATGAACAAAGTTTTCATTTCTTCATACTTATTGAAACTCTATGAAGGTGTTTGTTGGAGAAACTATCCTTCTTCTTCTTCTTCTTCTTCTTCTTCTTCTTCTTCTTCTTCTTCTTCTTGTTTTCATACATTACTATGAAGTTCTTTGTTAACTTATCTGTTATCCTTTTTTTTGTTTCACGCGCTAACATTTAACCTGTAGACTACTAAGACAGCATCCAACGATCTTCTTGTCTATCTTCAAATCAATTCACAAATCGCGCAACTATTTTTTATTTTCTTTGTAGGTTGTTTGTTCTTTTTATTCTTATTATTTTCAAGTAATAATGTTTGTTTGTTTGTTTGTTTCTTCTTCTTCTTCTTCTTCGTTGAAAGGTACCGTTTTCTGTTTTGTTTTGTTTTGTTTCATTTCACTCTGTGAATATTTTCCAATCTTCTTGTGTAGTCCGCCTGTATTCAATTCCCTCCTATTTTTTTCCTTATTTTCATGTTTATCCAGTTCATGTGTTTTCTTTTGATAAACAGAGTTATCCTTTCTTCACTGTTATTCAAACTCTATGAAAGTATTTACTGGACAAACCTTTCTTCTTCCTCTTCTTCTTCTTCTTGTTCTTCTTGTTCTTGTTCTTGTTCTTCTTGTTCTTCTTCTTCTTGTTTTCATACATTACTATAAAATTTTTTGTTACCTTATCTGTTATTTCTTATGTTCACAGTTATATTTGTCAATAGTTGATTGATTGATTGATTCATTCATTCATTGTATGAAGTACCTAAAGTGAATATTTAATACATAAGAATATGAATTATTATATCATCTTATTGTTTACTAATGAATTATTCCTATTCAATTGTTAATGAATAAAACATTTTTAGATACTTATCTATTTGTTGTTATGATTAACTATCCTCATTCATAAATTGTTTTCATGTATTCATTCTTTGTATTCATATTGTATTTGTATCAGGTTGGTTGGTCGGTTGTTTTTTTTTTGTTTTTGGTTTTTTTTTGTGTACATGAATTACTCTCTCTCTCTCTCTCTCTCTATCTATCTATCTATCTATCTATCTCTGTTATTCTTAAACTATACACATGGTTTGTTTTTCGATGTTATTAACAAATCAAATTTTTAAGAATTTCTATGTATATCTATTATTGAATAAAGTTTTTTTTGTTGTTGTCGGTTATATTGACTCTTGTTGTTGTTGTTGTTGTTGCTGTGGTGGTGATGGTGGTGGTTATTTGTTTGTTTGTTTTACCCTATTCATCAATATAGATAGTTATTTCTTATTTGCTTATACTGAAGAGTTTAACTTGAGAATTTTTATAGAAAAGTAGATGGAATGTGGTTAGTAGTAAAATTCAAGATATGCATTTTATCCTATTTGGTCAGTTAGTCAGTCAGTCAGTCAGTCAGTTACAACGTAGGACCAGGCGCATATATGCATCAGTTCAAGTTGCTACACCTCATTAGCACAAAAAGATGAGCACTAAATAAATAGAAGTAGTCACTTCAATGGTGTAATATATAAAGCAAAGATTTTATTTAAGGATATAGTACAGAAAGAAAGAATTAGTTCGTAAAAAGAAAAATATAAAACAATTTTAATCTCATAGTTTAAGGGAAGATAGGGAATGTATACAACTACGTCATTGTGATCGACTCGGAGCCATGTCACACAGATTCTCCAACCATTTCCAACACTAGTCACCATTGTGCGTCGTGATGATCGGTGTTTGAGTATGCGTAATATGTGGCCTAACCATCTCAGTTGATGAAGATTCATAACCTCATCAACTGATTAAACATCATTTCCTAATACCTTCCGTCTAACCTCGCTATTACTTACCCGATGCTTCTTTCATCTGCCTTATTGGGATAATTCTCATTGTTAATACAGATAGGGTATATAGTTTTAACGGTATAGAAAACTTTGTTTCCCAATCAAACGACTTCATGTTCACAGTTTCTGTTAGAGGTAAGTTATTGCTTAAAGTAAGTAGGTTGTTTATGAAGACATTTTTCATTTAAAAGATATATAACATAATTAATTTCTCATTAGAAACAACTTTAACTAGATCTTTAATGTATATATTCGTTGAACTGGAAGAGTTTTCCGAATTATTATTTTGTTCATTGTAAATTAATTAAAAATAACTAGGAAATTACGTCTACAAGTTCTCTGTTAGTATATGTTCAACAGTAGAATTTCAGAATTTGGTAAATTCAAAATTAGAATCTAATGACTTCTTAAATTTACAATTATCAATGTAGAACCCTAGCATATATGTTCATTATGTTTCAAGTTTACACGGTACATTTAAGGAGAAGAGTAGTAGAAGTAATAATATTATTAATAATAGTTGAGATTAGATATGGACGATATAATTCGGAGATAATGAATAATAATACCGAGATAATTTTAAAACTCAAGATCTTATGAAAGACAAAAAGTTTGGTTACCTGAGCCTTTCGGACCGATTATGAACTATATCATCCAAGGTCTCGAACAATTGGTTACAATAATCGTATGGACTGCAGTTGGATAGTTTGAACCTCCGTACATGACTCCATCTGTAAGTGACTTCATGAATTTATACCACGTTTTCATTTGGTTGTCCTTAATTTTCCTCTAAAATCCTCCTGGGGCTGCCGCCGGTCTCAAGCCCGGATAAACGAGGAGGGTTGGGTGTGGAGTTAGCTACCTCAAACCTTAGAAAATTAACTCGCTAAAAAACACTAACCAGAAAAAAATTCAACCTAGTTTTCGTTTTACCTATCCCTACACTAGTAAATATCAACTGTCAAAGTAGACAATAGTTGTGAATATATAATACATGTCCAAACTGCCTCAGTTGATGAAAATTCACTATCTCGTCAACCGATGTCGATACTCATTGATCACAACATGCTTAGGTAAATCCTCGAAGAGATCTGTGATCAAATACTAGTAAAGTACAAATATCTTGTATTTCTTAAAGGTCACGTTTCACGTATATAAAGTAGAATAAAGAGAACTACTGAACGGCATACACATCCTTTACTTAGCAGATGAACATCTCGCGTATGCAACAGAATTTAGCAAAAACCAACTGAGACTTTTACATCCGTGTCAAGGTTTCGTCAAACATCAATGCACCAGAGCATCGTTGCTCAGAGTGACTTGAAGATTATGCATTTTTTTCAGGGTCTTCATCAAACAAGGGTATATTGCCTGTGTATTCTAAGTCAACAAGTAATTCTTCTAGTAAGACACCAATTCATAGAATGCCATGCAATCAGAGGGTTATCTCCTATGGAATGTCTATGGTATAGTCAGATAAAAATGAAAGCTGACAATCTAAATGGATAACAATTTCGATGACAGCTCAATAGCTCTGGCTCGACCACGAGTATACTAGTGGAGAGTGTGTAGATCTAATTTATCAACATGCCCTTCAATGACAAACACTTAGAGAACCTATGGAACATTGGTTTAAAATAATAAATACAACTGTGAGTGGAAGTCGGTAGATATGTTCACTCTCCAGAACTTGGTGAAGGTCGAATATTTATTGCATCTATGCTTGCAACTGTAGAGTATTTTGTCTTACCAGTTGATAGATCAAATCATTTTCAGTAGGTCTACATACAACCAGCTCGCAGACCTATTTGATTTTGATATTTAACATTTAACTGATTCATCTATTTTCGACATACACTGGCAGGATGCTTGACGTCCTTTTCTTTTTAATGAAGTTAATGTGTACTTGTGAAAGAAAAACATACAAGGAACATATTCATTCTGAGCTATTTATGCCGTCATATAACTCACTTTATCTACTATTGGGCAAATATAAAATGATCTGTTACTTATCTTTCTGTGGAATTATTTATGAAAAGTTTCAATTGTATGGTAATGTCTAGAATGTTTTTCATATGTATTGAAAGTGTTATGACTAGTGACCTGTGTGCCCTGTTAATGTATAACGTAAATATACCGCCAATTAGAGAGCAGTGAATAATCGATCGGACCAGTGACGCGTAAAACCCGTAAGAGTAGTTCAGAGTACTTAACGATCCTGCTATCGAACAAGTTGCTATGTGGCCACTAGTCTAGGTGACTGGACACTGCGTGCACTATGTTGAGATTAGATGGTGGTTGGAGGTAGTCAACAAGAAACCTCGGATCCGGGTTTCATGCTACTTGGTACTCGTCAGCAAGGTGTACCTGTAATCTCGAGTCACCTAGACTGGTGGTCACATTGCAACTTGGTCGATAGCATTCAATCTACACTAAGAAGGACTTGACACACATGACATTGATCACCACCCAGTGATCAATCAATTGTGATTACATCTCAGTCCTATAGGAGGTCGGTCGCGACCCGGATAGCCCAGTGGTAACGTCTCTGACTGTGTAGCTGCGTTACACGAAATCGAATACATCAGGGAACACCAGTCCCTTCAAGATTACAGGTATACCTTGCTGACGAGTGCCAAATAGCATGAAACTCGGGTTCGGTTTTTCCTGTTGACTACC